TACCATCACCCTCCAGCCGTCACTAAGGTCATAGTAGAACGCCAGTGCGTTGTGAAAACGACAGTCATCACCTATGTGCACCCGGACGGGAACCCCAAACGAAACGTCACCACATCGACCACCTCCACAACCTCCACCACCACCTCATCCTCCACCTGCACCGCCTCAGCGCCCTCCCCCCAAACAAGACTCCCGCCATTTTTAATTGGCCCCTGGTCATTTCCGTCGTGCGGGGGCGCTGTCTGCGGGGGCGGAGCTCATGTGCCAGTCTGCCTGGTGGGAATGACGTCATGCGCTCAACAAAAGCCACCCCCTTGTACAGGACAACAGGGTCAACAAAATCCTTGTACTAACTGGCCCCATCACAATTGGAATAACCACAGTAGGCGCAAATTTCTTACCAATATCTTTCACTTATAGTAAGCCTAAGTATACGTCGAAATATTAAAGAGTTTCATAACTGTTAAAAAACAGACTTTAAAAAAAGATGTTTTACTCTAGAAGCAAGTATAGATATCATATTATGCAGCCCGTCTGCTGCACTTGTTTGTTTCATAAATATCCTTTCTGGACTCCTCCCCAAACCCCAACCCGCGCCCCCCTCCCAAAAATGTATTTTTTATAATAACCGATTCCTGAATTCATAACAGGATAAAAGGTATTGGCCCTTATCGAGAACATTATTTTGTTTTCTGTAGCGTGAACTTATGAAAAATAAAATCAATTGATCTTGGAATGTTACTTGACGAAAGGCTTTATTTTTTTAAAGGAAGTTAGAGGTAAATATTACAGGCTGAACTTTTTCCCCATCGCACATGCATACACTACATATTTTGTTATTACATTGGGAATGAAAATGTTTATCTTCAACCTTATTATATGATAATATGTCTTAAAGTTATTTAACTTTTTTTTAAGCCACCGGTATTTGTGTTTTGTGATATTAAATGATATATTTCTGTATGTAACCTTTCCACATTAGAAACCGTAGACCCTATTTATCCTCATTAATTTGTTTGTTGTTTTTTTAATGTTTGCTCTGTTTTTTCTCGTTTCGTGTACCCTGTATATCTTTTGCATGCACATTACAATATTTTGTAAGCATGCACTGTAAACAATATAAACATGTAACAACTTCCGTATTTGCGATCTCTGTTTACATGAATAATGTTTATCAACACTGCGTGAGAGAACAGATAGGTCAACGAATCGTTTGCCTAGCTTACTTACAGAAGTTGGCAAATTTGCGTAAGGTGATACTCGACATTATTTGAAAATTTTTTTTTTTTTTTTTCATTTTATGTTACTGCATTTTCATTTTCAGGAGCGTTTCTGATTAGATAACTATCTTACATATAATAATGCTGTAAAATTTTGCTGATTTGGATTTTCCAGCTCGAAAGACGCACAATAATGATAAGAGGAAGTAGACGTTGATCACTTCAACCTTTTATTATTTACTTTCCTTTTCCTGTCGATGTCGCCTATGACATTGGAAATATTGTCAAATGTATTTTCCTGGTCTTATTTATTTGGGGTTGGGTTTTTTTCAAATTGGCTTAGCTCTTACTCATATTTGGAAAAACCACACCAACATGGACTTTCCCTAACGTTTTCTTTTTTTTCGGAAAACAGCAGAACATGACGACATGTTAGAATATATAATCGAACATTTTTGAATTTTCAAAATTCCACAACTTCTATTTTTACTTCAGTTCTCACTAGTTATAACCACTAATGCAAATTGGATGTTCCGAGATAAGTGGGGTTTTGTTGGCTTTTAAAAAATCTTCTCTAGGTGCTCCTTTAAAAAAACAGTAAGCTGATAACGTGAACAAATCTTGTACGACATGATCAGACAGCAATGCCCTTGGTGTTCGCAAACAGTATCCTGTTTGCATAATCCAAGTCAACGGATGTAATGGTAAAAAGAAAAACGTTTCACCAGGTGTGAACATTGCTTCACGTTTTTCATTCAGTGATACCATGCTGGACTTGAGAGGGGATGACCTAGTGTGAATACCAAAATGTATTATCATTATTGAACTGGAGTTTTTCAAGCTCTCTTCCCATTTGGCTCAGTTCTTTCCTATATGGCTTCGAAATCGGACTTCTAAATGATCATACTGTGTTGTTAGGGGATTAAAATACATGTCAATTAAATATACATCCTGAACCCCTATCTTAGGCCAAATATTTTTTTACGACAGCTAATCTTAATCACTGAATACTTCTGAATGCCAACTTTCATGTAATGTACACACCCATCTCCTTAATCATTTTTATTTCTCCTATTATTATATATTTTTTATTTGCAAAAATAAAACGAAAAAAAAAAACCCATAACATTATTTTTTATCGGATTATTGAATATTGAAAATCTGCTTTATTGCGACCAAATAACACACTGTAATATTTTTATTTACCTTACCTTCTTAACATTTGTTTGCATGGAAGATGTCATAAATTTGAGCATTTTGCGGATATGAAATGCCTCCTTCCAGAAACGCCCACTGGCCGCCCGTTTCCAGTCACATCTCCGCCAACCCCTCCCCCTACCACAACTACAACAACCACAACACCACTTCCTACAACAACGAAGAGGGCCACGGCGAGAACGCGACCACCAACAACTACATGTATGTTGGTCAATTTTGGTGCTCCGTATGTTCCTGTGTGTATGTTGGTACCTGTGTTGTTTTCGCGGCGAGGTTTCGTTGTCTTGTTGTGCTGTGTAATACCACTCCACCCCCACCCCACCACCTTTCTCAAACCCCAACACCATTTGCATTTAACCAGAGAGAGAGAGGGGGGGGGGAGAGAGAGAGGGAAAGAGAGAGAGAAAGATAGAGAGAGAGAGAGAGAGAGAGAGAGAGAGAGAGAGAGAGAGAGAGAGAGAGAGAGAGAGAGAGAGAGAGAGAGAGAGAGAGAGTGAGGCAGAGAGACAGAGAGAGCGAGAGCGCGAACCCCGACACAGAGAGAGAGAGAGAGAGAGAGAGAGAGAAAGAGAGAGAGATAATAAAAGGTTAGGTATAATGTTAAGTAAAAGTCTAAGTCAAGTGCAGCAGATAAGTCAGTGTCTCCCTATAGATTAGATACTACTCGGCTTTTGACACCAATTCGCTTACTACTTCAAATCCATTTAAATCCAACCCCCCAAAAATTATTCTAAGCACATGAGCACATTCAAGAGGGAAAGGATTATACTTATAGGTAAAACAGTACTTCCACAAAAGTCAACTTGTTAGGTAGAGCAGTTGTGGGATGTAAAAGAATAATTAACGGGTATCATGAAGTTGTTTTTTAAAAACTGAATACAGCCTGGGTAATTTGTAATGAGCACTTGAGAGGGACATTCATTTTTTTGTTTGTTGTTGTTTTTGTTTCTGAAGGAATTGCCAAGTTAATCATTAATAGTTTCCCCGAATTCATTTAAGAAAAAACATACCCTTTTAAGACTATTTTGATATCACCTGCTTTAAGCTCAATCAAATTCATTGACACGTTTTAAATAGAATACCAAAGCATCAAATTATAGTTCTTGTATCAATCGTACTGAAACAGAGTTCCAAAAAGTTTGCTAGTTGTACTGTTTGTACATTGACAATAATGTTTCAGACTAACCCTTCTCTCGAGTAATTTAGCTTTAAATCGCGTCTTTCTTTGCTGTTGTTGCTGTTTTGGGTTATTATATTTGTTTTGTTTTTATTTAGTTGTTTTACTTGTGATATGTTTGTTGACTTTGTCCACCTCGCCTTACCACCCGTTGTCATGGGTACGAGCACCAAAATGTGTTTCATCAGCGGTCACTGTATTCCTTGTCTTTGTGTTTGACTGCTGCGTCATGTTTACCTGTTCCTTATTACAGCAACGACCACGACAACAACAACTACACCTACAACAACAACTACAACTACAACTACCCGGAAACCTGTTGTCATAACATCGACAACGACACCGCCACCAACTACAACAACGACAACTACAAAAGCGCCAACAACGACAACAACAACAACAACGAGAAGACCAACAACAACAAGTATGGCAGTGATGCTTTGAAGGAAAAATATTATATTGCTTTATCCACCGTTTTTATTATATTTTATTTTGTTTTGTTTCAGTTTTTTGTGGATGTCCTGATTTTAAAGATATGTCTTTTTCAATTACAAAAAAATCGGCAAGGTCTATCTCCAAAGTAGGTTTTAAAGACTATTTTATATCAACTTCTTGTTTAGTTAAAGAAGGTGTGCAATGTAGTTCCTGTAGTACTAAATACATTTGCATAAAGCAGTACAGAAACCCGATGAACCTATGGTAACAGCACACATTCTCTAAAGGGTGTTTTGACAGCTTGGACCCTTATTTAATCCCAAGCCATCCTCTTTTCAGAGATGATAAACACTATTTATACCCTCACCATTCACAGAACGTGCAAAATTTCTGAATATCGTTATCTTCTAACAGCAGGTAAACATCTTTGAAATCTGTTATTTGGGGAAGCGTTCGTTTTTCTTAACCGAAAGGTATCCTGGAAACTGCGGATGGACGGAAGAATTCGCCTTTACGTGCAGTATTTCGTTTCGATAGAAAGTCATTTGTTTTCTAAGGGCGATAAATTTAGGGAGAAAAAACTGACAGATGATGTACATCATTTTTTTCTCCGTCCGTCAGTCTAACTTTTGGACTTCGTTTCCCAATCTCTAATCCGCTTCTACGGTAATGTAACAATTCGCCAGCACTGTGTAATCAGAGTTAACGGCGAAGAACTGCTGATTCACCTTTCGCCGACATGAAGCTGAGCAAGGTGATGAAAGTACCCTTTTGCCCGATAATAGTGTAATCAGTATTGAACTATGATATTCTTTGATGAATGTATCTAAAAGAGGCTGCCAGACCTACCCCGATTGCCTAATATAGCAAGTATGTTGTGGAAGCAATCTCACATTATATTGAAAGACACCAACATGCTTGACCAGGGCAGCTCTTCTCCCCCCCCCCCCCCCCCCCCCACACACACACACACCTCGCACCTGCGTCTTGGGTTAGACAGCTTTCTGTCCTGGTGGGCGTCTTTTTTTTTCTGGAGCCTATTTAGTCGTACCGTTGGTGTGGCCACATTTCGTTAGTTTGGTTCTGACGAGTAACCGATCTGTTATCCGTTGACGAAAATCCGTCTTGGAACTTCAGTATTAACAATTCATAATGTAATGTCGGCGAATGGTAAATCTCCCGCTGCTACGTACACTGCGGCAATACTGAATCTACTCCGCAAAAGAATAGATAAAAAAATATTGACGAAGAGCAAAAACTTTACTTACTGCCTTTTTCCCCCTTGCTGAATCGCGATACACGTCAATTGTAGTTTTTAAACCTCTAGAAAACAAACTACCTGCATTTACTCTGTGAGAGGGTACAAGGCAGGCATGAATAAAGTCGAGGATAAACAACATCTTAACAAGGTGTATGTGTCTGTCACCTGTCTTGTTGACGCCATCTTTTCCGTTTTTCGAGCGTTATAAATAGGATTGTTTTCATTCAAAGTTAGCATGAGAAGTTGTTGTTTTTTAAGTTCTCCTCTGTTGCGAGGTGCAGAGAGTGATAACACTTTTTTTTCTTGTTTCCTCTTTGCCAATGCTAATGAGTTACATGTTTGAGCATGACTTCTTTTTACAAATTGTATTGCTTGGCAACGAAGTGCAGAATTCTTTTTTATGTAAGAATGTTATACACTTGGAACAGCTGAATTAACTACATTGCATAACTATGTATCTGTATTTTGTACTTTCCAACAACAAAAAAAAGAAACTAATTCGATACTTCCATTTTTGTTTTTGGAATCCTTAAACTTGTTACAAAAATCACCAATCACCTAAAACATTTTGCTCTCCAAATCGTCATCATCATCAACAATGCCTTTGTCACCCTGGATCAGGATGGAGGCCACAAACAAACATTTTCCACCTTTCCCAATCATGGGCTAGTCACTTGATGTTATTCCGTGTCTTCCCACTTTTCTGTGTATCCACTTCCGTGACTCCTCCAGGTTCCACGTGATCTTTTACCTTGTGGGTTCCAATCCAACACTTTCCTTGTTATGCAGCTGCTTGACTTCATGAAAGTGTGTCCAATCCATGGCCAACACAGTCTTCCCACCTCATCTCTGACTGGGCTCTTTCTCGTTCTTCTTAACACTTCCACGTTGGTGATCCTGTCCGTCCATCTGATCCTCAGTAACTTCCTTAGACACTTGTTGAAGAAAACCTGGATGCCCTTTTTTTGCACGTCTTAGATTTATTCCATGTCTCACATCCATACAAGAAGGCTGACTTCACATTTGAGTTGAGAATCCTCAGCTTTGTTCGTAGTGAGATATTCCTGTTTCCCGAAATCCTGCTCAAAGAAATAAATGCAGTCTGTGGCTTTCCAATGCGGGACTTTATTTCAGCGCTTGCTGCTTCCTCTGTGCCAATTATACTCCCAAGATTGCAGAAGGATTCAACGTCTTCTAGTGCATTTCTCTCTATTGTGTACCTGCTCCTTTCGTAGCGGATCTATCCTTAGGACTTTTGACTTTCTGGGGTAGATCCTCAATCCAACAGACTCTGATAGGTTGTTTATAATTGTGTTCTTTTTCCAGAAAAAAAGAAATTCAAGTGTAAGTCTTCCTTAATTGATACTTCCATTTTTGTTCTTGGAATCCTTAGAATTGTTACAAAAAACACCAATTACCTAAAAATATTTGCTCTCCAAATGCACACGTATACAAAGTGTTTACTTCGATGTTACTGCATTTGAGTAGTAATATTATTGTTTTTAACGGTTTGTGTTGATCTTCAGTGTCTAGTAGAAATTTTTTGAGCGAATTTAATCTTTAAAAATGTATTTAGCCTAGGGGTTTTTTTATGTCCATTTTTACAGTAAGAACAATGGAGTACCTATTACAATATCTCTTCTTGGCAATAAAGTAGATTGAGTGAAAGCTAAAGAGAAAAAGAGGATGACGGAACCACAGAAGGAGAAAATAAAGATAAAAAGAAGAAATAAGAAAGAGAAAGAGAGAATATGAGCGTGTATCTCTGTGTGTGTGTGTGTGTGTGTGTGTGTGTGTTTGTGTGTGTGTGTGTGTGTGTGTGTGTGTGTGTGTGTGTGTTTGTGTGTGTGTGTGTGTGTGTGTGTGTGTGTGTGTGTGTGTGTTTGTGTGGGTGTGTGCGAGTAATAAAAGAAAAGAAAGAGAGGGAGTGGGAGAAAAACAAAGAGAGAAGAAGGAAGAGAGAGGAGGGTAGAGAGAGACAGAGGGAGGAGGGTAGAGAGAGGCAGAAAGAGAGAGAGAGAGAGAGAGAGAGAGAGGGGGAGAGAGAGAGAGAGAGAGAGAGAGAGAGAGGCGGGAGAGAAAACGAGAGGTGGGGCGGGATAGACGGATGCGGGAGATCAGTGCCATTATTATTTCATTGTTAATTTTATTTCTCTTTGTTGACAAGGTGGTGCAATGTCTTGTTGTAATCATGTTTTAATAATCTCCAAACTATTTACATTATGTGCGATGTAACCTTATAACCCCAAGGTCAAGAAACTTTCATTTTGTTTCATGTTATATTATTTTGTTTCAGTGCGTTGATGTTTTACCTGCCCCTTGCTTTTGTATCATACTTTTTAGGCCCAGTTTGGGACGTTATAACACCCATACAAAATACACCTGTGCAAAGATTTGCAAAACGTCATCTATATACGCCAAAATACAACTCAACACATCAGTATTATTTAAATTACTTCAGTCTGTGCATGCTTCATTTATAAAAACAACACTTCAAAAGCTGGAATAGTCTTTCAACTATGTTCTGTTATTATTGTTCAAAAGTGTTCAATCTCTGCATACTTCATTACCCCCCCCCCCTTTCCCCACCGGAAAATGTATTTTTGTTGGGGTATTTTTTTGTAATTTAAAACCAAAATTAAAAAACAAACACCCCCTTCCCCCAAACCAATATAGATGTTGGAATAGTCATTCAACAAACCCGTATCTTTATTGTTTTAAATTGTTCAATCTATGCATACTTCATTATCAGCACACCCCCCCCCCCCTCTCCAGAAAAAAGAAGTTTTTGTTTTGTTTTTGTTTTGTTTTTTATTTAAAAACAAAAAAAGTATTTTTTTTTTTAAAAACCAAAAAAAAACCCAACCAATATAGATGCTAGAAAAGTCTTTGAACAAGGCCCTGTTTCCCCAGCTACCCCTCCCACACGGCCATCCCCAAGGACGACACCAACGCCACCTACGACGAGAAGGACGACCACACCAAGACGCACCCCGCCCTCAACGCCGCGGAGAACAACTCCCACATCGAGACCCACGCTTCCTACTACACCCAAGCCCAACATACCCGGTACGACACGAGTTGAGAGTTGAGAGTAATAATTAATGTTACGGATTAATGATGATAATGATACTGATGAATAGTGATAATGGTAACAACGATGATGATGATGATGATGATGATGATGATGATGATGATGATGATGATGATGATGATGATGATGATGATGATGATGATGATGATGATGTAGAAGTAGTACAGCTACAGTAATCACACAAGAAGAAGAAGAAGAAGAAGAAGAAGAAGAAGAAGAAGAAGAAGAAGAAGAAGAAGAAGAAGAAGAAGAAGAAGAAGAAGAAGAAGAAGAAGAAGAAGAAGAAGAAGAAGAAGAAGAAGAAGAAGAAGAAGAAGAAGAAGAAAAGGAAGAAGAAGAAGAAGAAGAAGAAGAAGAAAAGGAAGAAGAAGAAGAAGAAGAAGAAGAAGAAGAAGAAGAAGAAAAGGAAGAAGAAGAAGAAGAAGAAGAAAAGGAAGAAGAAGAAAAGGAAGAAGAAGAAGAAGAAGAAGAAAAGGAAGAAGAAGAAGAAGAAAAGGAAGAAGAAGAAAAGGAAGAAGAAGAAAAGGAAGAAGAAGAGGAAGAAGAAGAGGAAGAAGAAGAGGAAGAGGAAGAGGAAGAGGAAGAGGAAGAAGAACAAGAACAAGAACAAGAAAAAGAACAAGAACAAGAACAAGAACAAAAACAAAAACCAGGACAAGAACGGGCATAACGATAATATTATTTATAATGATAACAATGACTTTAAAAAAATGGAAGAGGCTAGCCGTACTTAATGACGGCTAGACTAGTTGGCTTAAGTACGGCTAGACTGGCAGTCTAGCCGTACTTATTCTAAATATGATGGCTAGACTGACCATTTTAAAAAAATAGGCCTACTGAATTGTAAATATAAATTTTTAGTGTGCAGTACCTAAAGTATTTGTATTTGAGACGAAACCAGATGCCTTAATGACAGTGCATGCATTTTAAACCTCCTGTTTTCTAATGTTAATAGGGCCTAAGATAAGTACGGCTAGCCTGGCAGTCTAGCCGTACTT